ATCAAAACAAAATTGCAGACAAATTTCCAGCATATTTGGATCAAAACAGCAGTCACTAGAGTGTAAACAAGATTTTTCTAATTTTAGCACATGTGACCTAATTTTTCAATTGAGATGACCCATGTTTGTATAGTCTGATTTTATTGACCTGTCAATTATGAATACATTATAACACTCATTTAAATATTCGATCCCACGTCGGGTTTGTCCGTTAATTTACGAGAATTGATATGGAGTATATAACTAACATTTTGAAAACTCCCACTAGCTTAATGTAGATTTCCGTAACATCCGCAATAGCACAGTCGGTTCAGTGATTACCTAATGTATGAGAGGTCCGAAGCTCGATCCATTCTTTTTAAATTCTTTTTAGGCTTATTCTTTCTTTATATTTAAGTATATTTTAATAAAAATTGTCAAGCGTTTGCAAAATTGTCTACACGGATATGAAACAAATAAGAAACATTGAATTGTCACGTGTTGTATTTTACTGCACTGAAATGACATTTATTGATTTTAATCCAAATGAATTTTGAATATTAATTCTTCAACAAGTATAACATTTACCAAAAAAAAATGCAAAGCATATTAAAACAGAAAGAACAACCATAACTTAAACTAGAAATGTGTCATCATGCCACGGATGCCCCCGCATGCAACCAAAATTTCAGATGGTGCTTTAATTATTTTTTTCATTTTAAGTTCAAAGCCCTTAAAACTTTTCAATGTTAACACAAACCATTTTCAGACAATGTTCAAGGCACTGAAATTATTCAGTCTAAACCTTTTAAAAATAGCATATTGCATATTTGTAGCCAAAATAATGGCTAAAAGTAAGAGTGTTGAAAGTGAAAGTTTAAAATTTTTCCAACATTCAGGAAAGATAAGTTTGTCTTAAATCATTGAACAACAACCAAATTCAAACTTAAACTGCTTATTCCTAAGATGTATCTATATTATTTTCAAAGTGAAAGGGACATAACTCTGCCAAAAAATCATCAAACCATGACCAAATTCCAACTTGGCCTGCCCATTCCTATGACATATCCATATGTCAAATTTAAGTTGAATATGTAACACTGTTGGGTAGATAATGAACAGAAACTGTAAATTTCATATTATTTACAAAGTGAAAGGGGCATTACTCTGTCAAAAATCATTGAACCATGACCAAATTCGAACTTGGCCTGGGCATTCCAAAAACATATCCATATGTCAAATTTGAGTTGAATGTGTTGTACCATTGGGGAGATAATAGACGGAAACTGAAAATTTCATATTACTTTCAAAGTGAAAGGGGCATAACTCTGCCAAAAATCATTGAACCATGACCAAATTTGAACTTGACCTGCACATTCCTTTGACGCATCCATATGTCAAGTTTGAGTTGAATGTGTTGTACCTTTGGGGAGATAATGAACGGAAACTGAAAATTTCATATTATTTTCAAAGTAAAAGGGGCATAACTCTGCCAAAAATCATCGAACCACAACCAAATTCGAACTTGACCTGTATTTTCTCATGACATATCCATATGTCAAGTTTGAGTTGAATGTGTTGTACTGTGGGGAGATAATGAACGGAAACTGAAAATTTCATATTATTTTCAAGTAAAAGGGGCATAACTCTACCAAAAATCATCGAACCATGACCAAATTCGAACTTGACCTGTATTTTCTCATGACATATCCATATGTCAAGTTTGAGTTGAATGTGTTGTACCGTTGGGGAGATAATGAACAGAAACTGAAATTTCATATTATTTTCAAAGTAAAAGGGGCATAACTCTGCCAAAAATCATCGAACCACGACCAAATTCAAACTTGACCTGTATTTTCTCATGACATATCCATATGTCAAATTTGAGTTGAATGTGTGCAACCGTTCTTAAGATAATGAACGGAAACTGATGATGACGGAATGACAGAATGACGGAAGGACAGAAGGATGGAAGAACGGAAGGACGGAATAGGGTAACACTATATGCCCCGGCCATTACATGGCGGGGGCATAAAAATGTTGAAAATAGTTATGAATAAGAAAAAATACTGGACATTCGCTGTCTCGATCTTACAACACGTAGGGCATTAAATTTAGACAATATATACCCGTAGTTTACCCTATTTCGCTATAACGGTCAGTGTAACTACTCCATAGAAACAATTTTTATTTAATAACATCTTACGGCGTACAACTCATGGAATTTACCGAACATTTATCGGATATAAATATATTCTGTGCATTGACCGTTTAATCAGTATGGAATTGACAGGTTAATAAAATCAAACAATACTCATATGAGCAATTACCTAGACAAGCATCCTTACAAGGTTTAATGGCTATTGACCACTAGAGTGTTAGCAAGGTTTTTCCAAATTTTGGCGGTGTGACCTAGTTTTTGACCCCAGGTGACCCATATTCAAACTTGACTGAGAAACATCAAAACAAACTTTCAGATTAATTTCCAGGATATTTGGATCAAAACAGTAGTCAATAAAGTGTTAACAAGATTTTTCTATTTTTAGCTCCTTTGACCTAGTTTTTTAACCGAGATGACCAATGTTTTAACTCAATCGAGCAATTACTTAGACAAGCATCCTGAACAAGTTTGATGACAATTGAGTGAAAAATGTGACTATTAGAGTGTAACAAGGTTTTTCCATATTTGGGCGGAGTGACCTTGTTTTTCACCCCTATTCAAACTTGACCTAACTATCATCAAAACAAACTTTCAGATTAATTTCCAGCATATTTAGATCAAAACAGTAGCCACTAGAGAGTTAACAAGATTTTTCTATTTTTAGCTCCTGTGACCTAGTTTTTCATCCCAGATGACCCATGTTCAAACTCATGCAAACAATTAACTAGACAAGCATCCTGACAAAGTTTGATTATCATTGAGTAAAAAATGTGACCACTTGAGAATTAGCAAGATTTTTCCATATTTAGGCGGTGTGACCTAGTTTTTAACCCCAGGTAACCCATATTCTAACTTGACCTAGAAATCATCAAAACAAAATTGCAGACAAATTTCCAGCATATTTGGATCAAAACAGCAGTCACTAGAGTGTAAACAAGATTTTTCTAATTTTAGCACATGTGACCTAATTTTTCAATTGAGATGACCCATGTTTGTACTCATATGAGCAATTACCTAGACAAGCATCCTGACAAAGTTTAATGGCAATTGACCACTAGAGTCTTAACAAGGTTTTTCCAAATTTTGGCGGTGTGACCTAGTTTTTGACCCCAGGTGACCCATATTCAAACTTGACTGAGAAATCATCAAAACAAACTTTTAGATTTATTTCCAGGATATTTGGATCAAAACAGTAGTCAATAAAGTGTTAACAAAATTTTTCTATTTTTAGCTCCTTTGACCTAGTTTTTCAACAGAGATGACCGATGTTTTAACTCAATCGAGCAATTACTTAGACAAGCATTCTGAATAAGTTTGATGACAATTGAGTGAAAAATGTGACTATTAGAGTGTAACAAGGTTTTTCCATATTTGGGCGGAGTGACCTTGTTTTTCACCCCTATTCAAACTTGACCTAACTATCATCAAAACAAACTTTCAGATTAATTTCCAGCATATTTAGATCAAAACAGTAGCCACAAGAGTGTTAACAAGATTTTTCTATTTTTAGCTCCTGTGACCCAGTTTTTCATCCCAGATGAACCATGTTCAAACTCATGCAAACAATTAACTAGACAAGCATCCTGACAAAGTTTGATTATCATTGAGTAAAAAATGTGACCACTTGAGAATTAGCATGATTTTTCCATATTTAGGCGATGTGACCTAGTTTTTAACCCCAGGTAACCCATATTCTAACTTGACCTAGAAATCATTAAAACAAAGTTGCAGACCAATTTCCAGGATATTTGGATCAAAACAGTAGTCAATAAAGTGTTAACAAGATTTTTCTATTTTTGGCTCCTGTGACCGAGGTTTTCATCCAAGATGACCCATGTTGGAACTCATTCGAGCAATTACCTAGACAAGCATCCTGACAAAGTTTGATGATGATTGAGGCAAAAATGTGAGCGCTAGCGTGTTAACAAACAAATGTGAAAGGACGAAAGACGACGGACATTCAACAATCCTAAAAGCTCACCCTGATCAAGCTCAGGTGAGCTCAAAATGGGGCAAAACAGAGTTATGGTTCTTTTGCACTGCACTTTTACCCAATGAGATCTATCTACCTACAAAGTTTCATGTTGATATCTCTTATAATGTTAGAGTTATGTTCAGGACAAAGTTCAATGTGTAAAAATGAACAAAGGGCAATAACTCCAAAATGAGGCAAGGCAGAGTTACAGTTCTTGTGCACTGCACATCTGCCTATTTACATATATCTACCAACAAAGTTTCATGTTTCAAAAATGGGACATAATAGAGATATGGTTGTTTGACACTGCACTCCACCTCAATGCCCTCTACCACTATGTGAAGTTGAAACAAACTATCTCCAAGGGTTTTCAAGTTATGCTCCAGACAAGACAACGGACAGACAGATGTACAATGCGGCGACTAAATGCTCTCCCTTCGGGGAGCATAAAAAGGGCCTTAACTCTTACAATAATCAGTGAACCAGAAAATGCCTATTATATGCACAACTAGACGTGGTCCTGATCATTCCTGTAAAGTTTGGATGAAATTGCACCAGTAGTTTTTGAGAAGTTTTTTGATGGATAGACAGACGTTGGAGAAGTGATCTATATATCGCCATAAAAAGGCAATAAATCAAAGAAAAAGTTATCTTTCTTGTGCACTGCACTCCACCTGATCTGACCGAGGCCTTTGCAGCATGGTTAGTACAGAAATTGAAGCAAAATATTCAAGGATTTTTTTTAGGATTTTTCAAGGCCATTTTGCTATTTTAGGGTCCGAAATGTTCCTGAATAATACTTAATTTAGAATATCAGGTTTTTCAATAAAAGGCCTCTTGTTCTATGTTCATTCAATAATTGATAAAACTTAGATATGTCTTTACCTTAACTTTGACCTTATCAGATCAAGACCATCAACAGTGGGTGGAAACAACTCTTCTAGTTCTGTTAGAGTGTCACTCTTTTTCTCAATGTATTTTGCTGCTACTTTCCTGTAGTTTGATATCTATTTAAAATGAGAACAAAACAAATATTAATATATATACTTTCTTGATTATTCTTTTTTGGTTGCCTTTTACGTCGCACCAAGACAGTTCATGTCATATGGCAACTTTCCAGCTTATCAGAGGAAGTCCTCATGTGCTACTTTCTTCAATTTTTCAACGGGCAAAACCAATGACATTCCGTAATCTTTGCTTGATACTTCCTGACATGAAAGAATACAAAGTCGCTTGCCGGATTTGACCCACAGCAGTAAGGTACAATAGGTTTGAAGTCAGCGACCAAAGCCACTCAACAACAGACATCCCTTATTTGATTATTTAAATGCAACTATACCTAAAATGTATGCATATATATCAAAGAAATAACAAAAAATCATTAACAATTTGAAGTTTATACTTAAAAATGATTGGGCGAAAAATGGACTTGTGGCTCTTAAAAAATATTTTAACATGTCAAATGCTAGTTTATGATTTACTTTATATGATAATAAAACAAATGATCCTGTTCATGCACATTGGAGGTTATTTAGCCAGATACTTTAAAGTCTGATATAAACATAACATTGATACCTGTTTATGACAATATCAATCCTAACCCTAATGGAATCCAAAGTGAATTTCCTTTGCCACAAGTTTCAATGTACAGTGAACTCCGCTTATAACGAACTCATTGGGACATTCCTATTCCTTATACCCGGAGTTCCTTATAAGCATATAGTGAATTAGTTCCTTGTATCATGAGTTTTTATAGCCAACAGATTTCCAGATAACAAACTGATTGTTTACCCTCGTCCACAATTTTGAAGGGCATTTGATTAAGAAAAATTAGTCATTTTTTCTTTTTTAGACACAATACCCGATAGCGTACTTTTTTGAATTTTCAAAATCCTTTGCTATTTCAGTTTTAGTTTTATCCTCTTTTTCAATTTCACATAAATATCATTTTTGTTTCTAAACTCAGTGCTTTTCGTGTTCTTTCCGTGATTAAGAATAAACAAGATATTCGATTTTTCCTTCCATTTATATCTTCTATTATATTTTAAGGGTGGTGACTTTACTTATGAAAAATATAGATTTCTTTTTATTTCAACCAAACGTATTTGTAGTTTTCAGTAGATTAGCAAGCATGCATGATTATGTTGAAAACCGATTATAAATGATAATAATTATTTTACTCGAGCAAACCTATTAAAGAAAAGAAATAATTAAATACTGTAACAATAAAATTTATAGAATAACCGTTTTATCTTGGTGGCAAGAACTTATGCTAAAATATCCTAAATAGAAAACTAAATATATTACATACTGCTATACAAATTCATTTTCACAGCTGTATTGAAGTACAGACAACAATCAACAGTACATTCGGGCAAGTTTTAATCTGTGCCAATGAAAACGAAAGTTAAAAATGCGGGATCTATTTACGAATAGCCGATATTTTGGAGTTTGTTAGTTCGTAGTGTAATTTTTTGTACTTTTAATTAATTTGGGACTAAAAACAAGTTCGTTATAAGCGATAATTCCTTATAACCGTGTTCACTTTAACCGTATATTTTTATATTAAATAAAGAAGGGCAAAATTCGAGCCAAAATAAATTGTTCCTTATAACCAGAAGTTCGCTATAACTGTGTTCGCTATAAGTGAAGTTTACTGTAGTCTGACCAGACTCTGTACTGTTTAAGAATTAATGCTAGTATTTTGATCTCGAAATCTCTCAGATAGAATTTTGTTAAGTGGACCATGAAATATATACATTTCCATAACAAAGGTTATATTTTGTAATAAGGTGTGACTTTAGTTTAAAAAATAAATTATGTAAAAAGTGGGGGTATGGGCAAAGCAGCTCCCTATAAGCAAGCATGCAAATATTATTGGCTAAATTAGAGTTACATTGGGTAGAATCGGACACTCCGGGAAACTCCGATGACATTGTATGACGTCATTCGTATATTTGCTATACCTCTGTTCTTAGAAATTGTTAAGTACATGAAATAACATTATCATACAGTTATAACTTGTATAAGGTGTCGACTTAGTTTATAATATGTTAACCAGGGTATTGCAATACAACAACCCTTGGGGTGGATCGGACAATCTTTTTGTAGTATCGGACGCATAAATTGGGGTATTTCGGACAAATGTTTCGGCAAGGGGTTCATCGGACAGTCCATTTTTTTATAAAAAAAAAAAGGTAAATTTATACCTGTTAACACAAATTATTTTATTCCAGATTAACAATTTGGATTAAATTACAGACTACGCTGACAATCATAGATCTAGCAAATAAGAATGAAACTTGCTCTATATGACATTTTTAAAGCTCTATTTATGCTCTGTAATTGTTATTAGTATATATTTATACTGTGCTTCATTTAGTTTGTTTTTTGGTTTTGTGTTTTTGTTCTTGTTTAAGTTTTCTTGCTTGTTTTCGTTCTTCTTTTATTTCAATTTCCCGTTCTTTCTTTTGTTTTGCTTCTTGTTTTTCTCTTATTATTTCATTGGACGTTAAGATTCTGTGTGATGTCAGTTTTCTTTTCGATGCACTACTCGACTTTCTTTCAGGCATCGGAAGTTGAAAAAGCGACTCGTTACCTCTGTAACAGCCATGCTCTGATCTACAACCATTTGCTCATATGGCATGCCTGTTGAATTCATGATTGCTTCTAGCACTTCCGCTGCACTTACAGACTCTAATAGCATAGACCCTTCTTCATCCGCAACACCCAAAACGACCGGCCGATCCTGAAATGTTAACATATTAAACAAGTTATTTTTCAGATATGTATCATTTCAAATCAGCTGCGAAATACTATTCTGTCTTTTACAATTTGTAATAAGAAAATAACAAAATAGTTTTATATTTTCGGAGTAGGTGAAGTATTACGAAATAGACTACACATGCAAGATAGGCAATTTAGATCCAAGATTATAAGAAGACCGATTACAGACTGATTTTTGCCAAAAAGTTTTATTCATACCTTGAACATAAATCCCTACAATTATAGAAGATTTATGAGTTTATAGATCTAATTTATTTAATAAATAATACAAAGCAGGATGTATACATTATGTTATAGATATTCAGCCAGGAAGACAAATTAATAGATTTCTTACACTTTCTTCTTCAGGTACATTTGCAGACATTTCATAAAGTCTTGGATTCACCAAAGTATTACAACCAGCAGTAGATGCTTCTGCTGGTATTCAATCTAAATATGACACAGTTGTGGATTCAGAAGATCTGACGTCTGAAGTCGATATGTCATAATCTTTTGAAGAAGCTGTTGGTTGAAATTCAGCAACTTCGAATGCATTTGACGGCATGTATGTGCTATTATGGATGGCGCCCATATCAACCGGAACAAAGCCCTTTGAAATGTTGTACTGTATAAGTACTTATTTCTGCGGGCTTAATATTCTGCGATTTTGGTTAAAATAAGGGGTTTTAAATTTCTGCGTATCTTATTTCTGCGGTGTCATCATTCTGGCATGGGTGTTTTTTTATTTCTGCGTTTTAATTAAGATATTTTTACAAAATTCACCGATACAAACATTTCAAGATTTGTTGATGAAACATGTACATTAGTTCCAGTAAACATGCAGACGACTTATAATGTGTGTTCATCACCATGTATCGGTATATAAAGTTAATAAACAACGTGCAATGACAACAATTAATTGTAATACTGCATGTGTATAAATATGAAGTGTGAAAAATAAACAATGGTAAAATCACACGTAGACACAATGTATTGTACAAATACAAAAGGGTATGTTTATTGCACCAATCAAACTATAATAGTTTTATTTTAAAATAAATCAAGCTTAGGGTGAGCGAAAATCATACAAACATGATATTTTTTCAACAAAAAGAACAAGTTAAGTAAAAAAATTTCTAATATTTTATTCATGACGGATACTTATTACATGCTTTTCGGTGGTTTATAGAAATATATCAGTGATATAAAACTGGTAATTTCACTGTTTGAAACACCAGTGAAATACCAGCGTGCACAGTACTGGGTACCAACTTAATGACGTGACGTGGTAAATGACGTCACGTTGTATTATTATTTGGCGCGCTTTTCATTCCGTATTAGGTTACATGTGTTTTTAAAACGTTTCTTTGCATATAATAAAAAGAAAATTTGTTTAGTTTAGTGTAAGATTGAAATATATTTCACCTTGTGAACACCAAAAGTTCATATTTCACTCGTGGCTGCGCCACTCGTGAAATATACCTTTTGGTGCTCACTCGATGAAATATATTCCGATCTTACACTGAACTAAACAAATATCCTCTATATAAAGAAAACTTCTCATCTGAAAATGCTGATAACAGTACATAGTAATGTAATTATAAAATACAGGTAGTTGACATATTCCGACATACATGTAGACATAGCAAAAGGCTTAATTTTCTGCGGTATTTAAATCTGCAGTGTCGTTATAAACTGCAGAAATAGCAGAAATAAAGTTCCCGCAGAAAAAAGTACTTATACGGTATTTGGTGAAAGTCTGTTCATACGCTTCTCTGAACAAAAATGGCCACACTCATTTACATACTAGGTTGTTAGGAGATTTTGCCATGAACTCGGACCAAAAACAGTTTTATCAAGTGGGTTCAACCATTGTGTGGTATGGGGTGGGAGGGCAAACAGCGTTATGTTTTCTTCAACTGCACATTCGATCAAATCTAAAGTTTCATGAGAGGTGTGCGAGTCCAGAATCAAAAACTGAGGTCTTTGTGGGCCAATGTTTGGCATAAAGACTTTATTAAACCATTCAGTTCCTAGAGATTCTTCCATCCACCCTTTAATTTGATAAGTCCACCTTGTTAAATGGGGGCCAGCAGAAACATTAAAACTGTTTAAAGATTTCTTGGTTTTACCCTGAACAATAACCATTGGCGGGACATCACCTCCTGCACCGTTTATACAGGCAGCAACAGTAACTGACTCCTTAGAGTTTCCAACTCTTCCTGGAACGTTTTGCGTGCCA